AGTATGGAACTAGGAGATAGCAACCATTTGACTAAAGAGTTGGGAAGGCTAAAAAATTTATTCCTTGTTAATATCTCGTTAGTGATGAATAAATCTTCAAGCAGAGACTATTTTGTCAAAGAGAGTAGTAGGACGAGGATCCTTTGTATTCTTCGCTAAATTCAACAGACAAAAGTCCAAGGTGAGGCAAATCTACCAATCCCTTCCACGTGCCTTCTCAAACAAAATGAAGGATATACCAGTGTCAATCTACTAGGGGATTCTTCGAAACCCAGCTTCTCTCAATACCCGTAAATAATTTGCAAAAATAAACATGTCAAGAAACTAAGGAATGATGCGTGCTAGATTTTTATGACCTTTTTTTTAAAAAAAATCTTATTCAGGCGTAACTTTTATTTCGGTTTAGAAATAATTTTGAAGAATTTCGTAAATTGGCTCCACCAAAAGCGGAGGGAAGTGTGCCTTGTAGTTGTGAAAACTGGATTGTGTGACCAAGACCTCGGCTCACTATCCCACGACCTCGGTAACCTCCTAATGAGCTTTCGTCTATTCGAGATGTATGTAGTCTTGTAATCCCACTTCTAAATGGAAAATTATCTTTCTTCTGTCATCTGACGGGCACACTAATATCCATCCCTCACTGGAGCTCTTCAAAACCTAATTTCTCCTCAAGTATAAAAAATATTCTGATTCTCAAACTAAATATTAGGAAACGGGAAGAATTAATTTCTACGGTGAAATAAACTCTATATTTATTAGGAGAATCTCGGTTTTAATTACTATCCTAATGTAACTTTGGTTGGCTTACATTCGTTTAGTGTGAAAGAGTGCGTTATCAAGAATCCTAAGTCGATCTTACCAAAAGTGGACAACGGGTTTTGTGTGAATTGTTATTCCTAATTTAACTTGATTATTCAGATTGTTATAGTCCGTGGACCTGTCAACTACAATGTAAACATTCGAGACCCCCAAAGTCATCATGAGTATGCTTGAAAACTATCAATAGATCTCGAATACGAATATGAGCAATGCTAGACTGCTAATTATGAGGAAAATTGAATTTCACTGAATGAAAAGAGGTAAAAGGTTTCACCAGATCACCTAATTTTACATGGTTTTACTTTTCACATGCTTGCTTACCCAATAATTACTGCATATTCGACCTCATCAGCGCACTAAACAAAATTCGAATCCGGGTCGTATTCATCAAATGGGAATTGCTTACCCAGTCAACCAGACAGCCCCGACAACCAATTGAGAACAGGCCGGATGTGACTTTCAAAGCAAGTCGGGCTCCCCATGGATCAGATCAAGTTGCTAACACATACTAATATGGGAAATTCCTTTATCATTCCTTAAATCACCTTAAGCGACCCAGGACAACTAGATCTCTTACGCTGAGCTTCCTTTTATCTATTTCCAGATACCTTAAGAGGTGAAACCAATCACATAAGAACTTAACTATAGCATGGATACGAATAACTTAGCATCTTACTTAACTAAGACGTAAGCATTTTTCAAAAAAATATATTTTACAAATATCTTACTTATTTTTTATTTACCCCATAATCTTAGGCAATTCCATTCTAATCGTATCTTGGTCTCGCCCGAAGCAGTAGGAATGCCTCGATGTTGTAAGTAAAAGCCCTCAATGCACCGTTTTGCGACCCCAGTCCGCCTTACCAGAAATCGTCAGACCAAGACTGCACAATTTCGACTTGGCCAGTGCTAAGCTTAAAGCTGTTAATTCCCTATTAGGCCGGTCTGTAGGGCGAAAATTGTCAAATGGGTCTCATGGGCTTTTTACCTTCTCGGGCCCGTGAAACTACCATATTACGAACCCTTTAAAGCTTATTCTAAATTCTCAGGCATGTAACCAAGCTAGCTTTTTGCATTTGCAATTGTAATGCATTCTCAACTTCCAGCTGAATAATTAGATAAATATTTCAGATGACAACATCTTTTGCTCCATATTTTCAGTCTCATATAATGATATACATGAGTTATGTGCCCCTCTTCGAAAGCTCGCTCCTGCCTCGAGTCCCGTTGAAGCTGATGATGAGATCCAAGCTACAGTTCAGCCAGGGGTGTGCAGAAAAAGCGTCGATGAATGGTGCTCCTTTGTTCCGACGCATTTGTTCGGTTACCTTTTTTATTATTTACCTATTCATGTTTTGATCAATACTGTTTTCACTTTTTATACATTTACATTTGGGACATTTCGAATTTCTTCAAATGGTCTTAGGTGACCATTCTTATGGGCAGGAGGATGAGACATAAATATTAATGTGGCTATTTATTAAAATTAGCTTTTTTTAACTTCTTATCTTGTCAGGCTTATCGAGACGATGCATAAAAGTTGTCTTCAGAAAGCGCCGTACTGTGATGAAATATGGGCTTGAAAATTACTACTTAACTAAAGGAGCTGAACTTTTTTCGTTTTCAGCCTATTGACCTAGCGGTCATTCCTTTCGCTGGCCAACTTTGGCCAAACTCATTTCCAAGCCATTTGTTTTCTTAACTTCCAGTTGACTGAGAAGGATTATAAACGCAAAGTCGGGAAGAGCTGCACAAAACGATGTAAGCACTTGAAAACTGTTCCACCATCTTACTTTAGCCATTCAATTGATTGTAAATGTCTCATTTTACCAATTACTTTAAGCACAAGGTGACTTTTAAGTCCCTGTTTTTGCTATCATCCCTTTGTTTTCTGTAAGTGTGTCTAAGACTCACCTCTCTCTCTCTCTCTCTGCGACGCCCTCATGTGCGCTTTCTTATCTTGGCAGACGTGCACACGGACACGTACAAAGAGACACATTCACCTGGATTTCACAGGTCTGTTTATCTCGCCATAAATCTGAATTAGGCAGAACAAGGAAAAGCGCATAAACCATCTTTTGGATGTTTCATTCGTCTTCCCATTAAAATTGCTGCGGCCACAATGTAGTTCTACAGTTGCATTGAACACTCTTGGCTCGCCGGCGCTAACCGCACTCTCGCCAATTCCACCGCATCAGCAAAGACAAAAAACAAGAACCTTTTGTGGCCCCCAACACTCGCTGCTTCACCCTCATCCGCTCCTTTCTGCTGTCAGCCTAATCACTGGGGCAGCCTTGAAGACGTTAGCTTGCCCATACAGCCATACAGGTACATCCGCTGTCTTTGCTCTGTCAGACCGCATACTTCCCTTGCCCGCCCAAGGGAAGACTTTATTACCAATTTCACTATAAATCTGTTTATATTAAAGTCGAAAGCCGACAGATACATGTAGGCTAAGACGAACAACGAGACTACAAAGCGATTGGGGAAGGAAGAATCAGAGGCCACACCGTGTCCAGTCAGATTAGAAATTTACGGTTTCCATCCAGAGTCAGACTAAGAGGGTACTCCAGGCGTGCAAAGTTATCAAAATAAAGTCCAGAGGAGAAAGAGGAGGAAATGGAACTTCAGGTTTGTTGCTCGACTTGTAAACGCTCCCCTACACTTCCCCCATTTCAGCCCTAAATGGGAAAGTTAAGGATTCTACAAAGTTCCAAAATCACAATTGCCGAGCCGATGTAAGGGGCATTTTCTTGCAAAACGCTTTGGAACGGAAGCTGGTGGCATGCGGCGAACTCATGTTCAATTAAAACCGATATTTCTAGTTCTGCTCTTGAATAGAGAAATTGGGAATTTCTGTTAGCTTAGTCACAGCTGATTGGATTGGTCTCGACCAGGCTGGGTAGAAAAGTTTGCATTAGCTGTTCGATAACAGGTCTGTGAATTTCCCTATGCAAGGGATGAGTTCAAATCATTTTCAAGTGAAAATGTGTGATGAAGAGAATCGAAGGTCGATCTCATCATCCGTCATTTGGCTTTACTAGACAGTTCTGCTTGACGAAGGGCCCCAACAAAATCCTTCGGCTCAGTTGAAAACAATATGAAATTCAGCTGTCATGTGATTTGACAGAAGGGCAGATTTTTAGAATGAGTATGCCTGGCAAATATCAAAAAAACTATCGAAGAAGAACTTAAAATCAATATATAGAAAATACGAAGAGAAACTTGGTTTCGATGAATCTCCTGAGATAAAATTGTTAGGGGGACCATCATTTCGAATGAAAGTACATGAAGAAGAGATTCGTTTTTTGATCTCACCAGATGAGGACGGATGAAAATCGTTGTACTGCAGCCTTTTAGCTTTTATATTATATTCATGTAGACGCAGTCTACGAGTATTTCTCCCTCGTTTCGGGTGAAAACGTGCTGAGCTTTCGTCCATTATATGATGGACATCATCAGAGCTGGGTT